GTTTACGGGTATTTGGCCTACAGGGACCTGTACAGCCGTGCAGGTTTCTTTCTATGGGTTTTTACGGGTATTTGACCTATGGGTACCCGTACAGCCGTACGGGTTTCTTTTTATGGGTTTTTACGGGTATTTGGCCTACGGGTACCCGTACAACCGTACGGGTTTCTTTCTATGGGTTTTTACGGGTATTTGGCTTACGGGTACCCGTACAATTGTACGGGTTTCTGTCTGTGGGTTTTTACGGGGATTTGGCCTTTGGGTACCCGCAGAGCTGTACGGGTACCCGTAGGCCAATTCCCCGTAAAAAAAAAAAAAAAAAAAAAAAAAAAAAAAACTTATGGGTTTCTACGGGGCATTTTTAGCAGGGACTTTTTGCGATATAATTTTATTATTAAACATTAAATTAAGTTTCATTTCAGATGTGATAGCCCACCAGCAGCCGAGCGGTAAAGTCGCTGAACACTGGTAGTTCGGTCCGAGGTTCGAATCCGGCGAACGGGCTGGCTGCATGGGTGTTTTCGTGGTTTTCCCCATGTGTAACGTGTATACGAGCCAGTTTCCCTTAGAAAGTCCTCCATGAAGTCCTCATGAAGTCCTCGAGGGCTATCTCCCCTTAGGCAGATAGCCGAGGCTTTGCCCTAATTAAATAACCTAACCTAACCAATCAGATGTGATAAGCTCTACAATTAACGACATTTATACGTTGCCCTCTCATAAATAGATTATGTTACCCATAAATTTCTACTTTTTTTTTTTTTTTTTTTTTTTTGTTGTCATGTGAAAGATACATCAACACTTTTAACTTAAAATTGCACAAAAATCTTACATTGTAAGTAAAGATGTATTGTGGCTTTTGGCCAGACAACCTTTCACGTTCAAATAGAATTGATTATATTCCGTTTAAAATTAAAGTTCTCTGAAACACAAAATCGTTTTACTAGTTAAGTGAATGAACCATTGGCCAAATGGAGAGAAAAAAGTATTTATATTTGAAGAATTGAATTACTCTTGCTTTCTTTGTATTAAAATCGATAGTTCCTGTTATCTAATTACTATATCGAGAACATCTGTTTTATTTCAAGAAATGCTTTTAGATGGGTGATAAGTATATTTAGAAATACTTTGTCCTTTCTTTTTTTTTTTTTTTTTTTTTTTTTTTTTGATGGGTCGTAAATAATCCATAATTGACCCTATGAATAGGCCTTAAATAATCCGTAATTGGCCGTAAATAATTTTCTATCAATTTGGTTTTAAAACATAGTACTAATTTCGCACGATGTGTTAAACTGTTTCACTTAAGACATGACATCTGATTTTAAACTGAATTTTTATTTGCACCCTAGAGCAGCTGAAACTCCGTCATTGCTAAAATTTTATGATTGTTCTTTGGGTTTTAATTAGTGATATTTTAATAATGGCCACTGCTTTATGATCATATAAATTTCGCATGAACGAAATAGCAAAATGGAAAATCTGTCACCCTAAATGATGGAAGTAGCTAAAGTCACATTTGTTTACAAAATATCTAAAGTGAACATAAATATGATTTGAAAGATTAAATTATATGATAACAGCAAAATACACGAGGGTTATTTGCCTAAGAGCAGGAAAAACATTCTGAGAGAGACTGACTGGTTTTCAGATTAGGTCATAAGTGGTCAAGATAAGCTTCGTTGCTAGGCAACCAAATAAATCTTGCTACATCAGTAAATTTGGTTTAAACGTTTTGCTTAAATGTTCTAACTTTTCAGTACATGCCATTGGTATAAAAGCTGACCAATCACAGCAAAGCAAAATCGGTCGACGCTTTCGCTGAGTCAACTGCACGTTTACGCATGCACAACTTTCTCTTCCCTGATTGGCTATTGCTTAAACCATGCTAAACCGTTTTGAATAGACTTAATGACTTTTATGCTTTAAAACATAAAGCTTTATGCGACAAAACCTGAACGAAACTTTATATACGGGGTAAACCACGAAACACACCCGTGCAGCCAAATCGTTTTCCTAAGTTAAGATTTCCGTCAAACTAGCTGCATTCAGTGGCAGACCTCTCGTCCACTTGTGAGGCTATAATTTCTCGTTCTACTTAATTGATATCATATCTAAATCATTATTACACGTTTGTACATTATTATTATTATTACATGTAAGATGTATAAATCATTACTACATATTTATACATTATTATTATTACATGTAAGATATATAAATTACTAGTAAACATCTGTAGCTGTCTTAACGGTATTTAATACCATCACATCAAAATATGAATAAATTAAATTTTAAATATTGATAAATAGTTAGATGACTGAATAATTTTATCTGTTGAGTAAACATTTATATCAGAATAGAAAGCAGCTATTTAGATTTAGGGTTCCCATATAAATAAAAATTAGTAGCACGACAAAATTCCTCAGATTAAAGTGCCGTAATATATAAACAGATAAATGTAAAATTTTAACTGTGATTTGTACTAGTCTGTCAGTTCTCCCTTTTAATTTAGTTATTTCTGCTTTACGTCCTAAAATTAGTAACTAATTATACTCTCCAGAAATAGTGCTCTAAGCTGCGCCAATTCGATATTAATTCCGCTTACATCATTCGTCTATAGTGCTAATGACGCAAATAATTAAATATCATTTCAGCTAAATTTAATGTTAAAATTTTCAAACTAAAGCCAATGATTAGCCTATTAAAGAAAATAGAAGCAAAAGCACAGATTTTAAAGGTCGCCCTAAACAACTCTTTTAATAAAAACTTAATATCGCTTATCAGTAGAGATTTAATCGATAGAGATGACCCAGGTTGAGTAGCAAAACGTTTTATAGCACACTGGATGAGTACATTAGACTAACGTAGGTGTTATATAATATAGCTGGTATATTTGAAAAGTAATAAATATGTAGCGTTATTCTAAAAATTGTAAAATGTTACCAATTAGGATATATCATGAATCAAATGCGTTTTTATTTATCCAGCCTATTAAAAAGTAGAAAATAATATTCTTAAGACCTGCAGCTATTGCTGTTAAATAGTTTAGTTTTTTAATCAATAACAGATAGATTGAATTTGAAAGATAAATATATTAGATTTTAATGCATGGCAACAAACTCGAATGAGAAATGAAACAACTTAAAACCGTTTCGAGACTTAATGGTTTGAGACTAACAGTCCTTTTTGGGTCACTAGAAACTTACCAAATCCTTCATTTGAAACTAAACATTCCTTGTTTAATTTCGCCCCTCTTCTGATTGCAGATAAGTCTTAGAAATGTAATATTTACTAAAGACTAAAATGCACTAACTAAAACTATTTACTAAAGATATTTACTAAAATTTTTTGTTAGCTGAGTTTGTTTTAAAAGTATTATGTCAGCAGTAAAAGAAAGTTACTCTGTTATCTAATCAGCTATAACTACTGTACCATCTCTATGCACAAAGTTCCGGATTATCTTCTCTGCATCATCAACATTTAAATTATTGCAAACACACATACACGTATGCAAGATATAAAAGAAGGAAAATTATTAACAATTGCTAATTGAATTGACAACAGCCCTTTTAATTTCTAATTTCAATTTCAGTACAGTCCTCTTCATAGGACCTGCACTGACGTCATTCTTTCCATGCAGTCATATGCGTTGCTGTAAACTCCTGCCAAGTCGTTGTTCAGAATTGAAATAAAACATAACGAACACATTTATAGGCCCTGCTGCTTAATACGCATCACTTTTACGCTTACTGTTGTCAAGTTAATTCTTGTGAGGCGCGTTTAGCACTTCTAGTGGTCTCTTTCAATGATATTTGGTACCTGGCAACGTGTCCCGAAGACAACATGTACCTGACAACGTGTTTCGAAGGGCCATCATTGCCCTTCAGGAATCGTTCTGAATGTTAACTCGAGACTCATCCTTAAAGAGTACGTGACCCCAGTGCTTTCGTGTCCAATTGCGATGTTCACGGACCCGATTCAACCGCACTCTGATATGCGATAGTTACAAAGGAACACAAACAGCAGGTCGTTGGGCATACAGTCCATCTTCATACAGCCGACTCAATATAGGATTAATAACAGGAAGTGATCGATTGTCACTGTGGTAATCCTCCGGCCTTCAGACCCACGTCTTCTACCGGGATTTTGATCCTTTTGGTAACGATTCCTAAGACTATTGATGACACGACTATGCACATTCAGCTCTGTTTTGCACTAGCTTGCAGCATCCCGACAGCTCTCCAACCCATTTTATGGTGCAAACAGTGTCTTCGGCTCATACTCTCAGCCTTGGCTATCGCTGCTTGCAAACTGACGCGTATTTCCTGCAAATTCGTTTTTAAGGCAATGTTGTGAGACTTCGTTTTATGCTAATTTTGGTTGTCTATTTGTATTCCGCCATGCTACCTCTATATCATACGTAAATTGTATGTCTTAATTTCCTTCCTTACATTCGTACATTTATTTTAAAATGTGTTGCTTATTTTGTAGCCCGAGTATATTTGCCGTCGGTACTTTTGAATACTTACGCCGACTAGTTTGCGAGCCAACTTCGAGATCAATTGAATTGTATAATCTTCGACTGTTAGCTTATTTTAAATTTGAACTTACTGTCATTTTATGTAATCTCGCCTCAAGTGTTTAGCTGAATTGTGAGCGCGAAAAGGGCTTTTTATGTTCAGATTCTGATTTAATAAAAATGTTTGTTTAAATCAACTCAAATCTCTATCGTTAACGTTTAGACTTAACGATAATTCGTTCTCTATCTAATTAAAGTTTGGTTGCAATTTATGATAGCCATTGCTTTTGAAAAGCTACATTAATTTAAGGAAATAAGTTTGAATTAAGTGCTGCACAAAATATTCATAATGTAATAGGCCGTACAAGTCAGGTGCTGTCCCCATGAGATTTTTTAAATTTCGTTGAAGTAGTTCTTAGCTTGTTGTAATGTCTCCGAGAAAATGTTTCCATCTTATTTCAAGTATAACAAATTCATGAGAACTTACTTTCATTTGTACAGGAGTCGTAAAATGTCTTCATCTGACGAATGAAATCACATTGGTCTCCATCTAGCTTCCTTTCTAAGATAACTGGGAATAAAAACAAATAACACTTATGCAACTGCAACCTCAATAAAATTGATAAATGTATTACAAATGAAATGTGTTGGAATAACCTTTTTTAAAATCATCCTGTAGAATAGAGGAACAGAAAATAAGTGTAGTCACTTTTTTATATCCGTTAAAATTATATTATAGTAATAAGTCGGGACTTGAAAAATTTACCAAAATCCAGGTACATTTAAAATATGTTTTATTTGCAGCCCGAATGACTATTATTATTATTATTACTTCCAGCCCGAATGACCACAAGCACACTATTTGGCTACGACGCAGTACATATTTAGATAACTCTACGAAAAAAAAAAAAAAAAAAAAAGTGGTCGCATTTGGATAAGATAAAACAATGGGCACTAATGCTTCCAGTTAAAGGGTGTAAATATTTTCATGGAGGGCATTCTAATACAAACTGGCTTGTGTTAAAATTACGCATGCAAGAAACAATGTTAAACACTCATAAAACCGGCCGTTTTCTACTGTTTGATTTCGTGTTACATTACCACTTTTCCATGGTCCTTGCTTTTTACTTCTTGTACGAAGTAAAGGAAGTATTGTAATCACGAAAAATTCCCGCTTTTATATTTCAACGAAAATTTTCGTTTTAACCGCTATCAAATGCAATTTAACGATGTTTTCCCGTGAAATCTGTACGTAAAGGCAGAATAAAAGACTCGTTTTTCCCCAAACGAATTATCAAACTGATTTAAAATGAATTCAGAAGAGATTTTTTTCGTAGCGTCAGTACGTATGTGTACATATCTCACATAACTCAAAAACCAGTAGTCTTAATTTTGAAATTTTTTATATAGAACTGCTATAATATTGTTACTAATTTTGTATTTTATTTGATATTTTTAATAGAATTGTTATTAAATTGTTCCATTTCCTCGTTCTATGTTGCGCGTGATAAATCTGAAGAGAAAGCTAAGCCGGAAAAATTAAAAATAGAGGAGCACGCGCATTTAATAAATAGATATCTCGTAACTATACGCTTTTGCTTTTCGAGAAAATACCAGAAAATTCTGGTACACCTAAAAAGCTTATATAAGCGGCATGTGAAAACACCTCAATTTAGTTTCTTTATGAGTTTTATTTATAAACTGCTGTTGTTGACTGTAGCGAATTCGCGGTGAAATAGGATTTGCTTTTTCTATTTTGAATTAGTTCTATTGAACGTTTTTAGTAGTTTAAAGGATAACTGCTATGAGGTATTGGGATACTGTACGATATATGAGGAAATTTAAGCACTTTATTTTATTTGATGTGATAATAAATGTTTTTAATTTTATCATCCGACTTGTGTATTTAATTCATAACGAACCCGTACGCACGCAACAATATATAGTTGTGCGCCTCTTGCTTGCAATCGGCCGCACCAAAAGTGTATAAATATATCTCTCTGTACGTATATCCACTCTGTTGCTCGGCTCAGTGCGCTCAGTTATTTTTAAACTTATATTCTGGTAAATTTTGCATCTATTGCTTTAAAAATGATTGACTATGTTGTAATTTTCTTACGCTTGAAGTTTTCATGCCTTTAGTTAATCTGCATGCAGCATTTGTAGAATTACCAACAATTTAAAAGTTGTCTAAGCAGCTAATCCTAATACTTCTCACAATACCAGCCATATTTTTTACATCTGAAACTTTGCAGAATAGTGGATTTGTTGCCAATCTAGAGAAACTAAACTTCGCAACAACAAGGATGACGTCTTCTTCTATTATTGCGAATAAAATAATGCTTAATCTATGCAGGAATTATCATTAAAGTTTTGACCTTATCCGATATATTGACTCAGGATAACATCCACAACAAATTCAGTTTCTGTACCTTCAGTGTTTTTTTTTTTTTTTTTTTTTTTCGAGTGTAACCAAAAGGAAACTTTTAGTTTTGTGCTCCGAAAAATCTGCCTGCTGGCCGAATTGCTTGTTTTGGCGTAGAAGCTGTAATTTTAATTGTAAAAATTGTTTTTTAATTGTTTTAACTGCATTTGGTGTTTTATATTTTTCTATATCTTTCATATTTTAATGAAGATGTTTTGAGTTTTTAATGTATTTTTCCCTTACCGCGAAGTGAGAACTGAATTAATTGAATGGAAAATGTATCTCTATTGAAATAAGTTTGAATGAAATGCAGGAAATAATGCGTATAATTTGATAATCCGTACATGGAAGTCTTGTGGTGTACACATCAGATTGTTTTCGGGTGGTGAGCTTCTTTACAAAAAATGTCTTAGTGAGTTCCTTAAATAAAATAAACGTAATACAAGCTAATGTTGTATCATATTTCAATTTACATAAATTTTAGTTTAAGCAGTTTGTATATTTTTTCTGAATATTCAGTTGATTTTTAATCGCGATCGTTTTCATCGTATCATTACATTGATTATCATAAAATCTATCTTTAAAGTTGACTCTGCATAAATATGATATTATTGAGTGCAAACAGGTTCGTAAGAGATTGCATGCACAAGTCCGATAACAGGTAATAAAATTTATTCTTATGAAAAGAAATATAACAGAACGCTGGAATTTTTCTCAGAGATATTCGTGCAAATATTCTCAATATCATGCAATAATAATCACTAGTTATGCTTCAAACTACTAAAAACGTTAACTAGAACGCAATGCGAATTGCATTTAAAGTGAAAGCTAATCCGATCACACACTGAACTTGCAATAACAACAACAGCTAATTAAACCAACTGAGCTAAGATCCACGTTTCGCTATACATGCCGAGAATAACATGCTATTTGCATGTTTTTATTCGGCTGTCGTAAGGTAGGTGCGTCTGGAGGCGCTTGAGGTAGAATGAATGCTGGAGCTAGGCTTGAGCGGAGATGTTCTCTGTTTGGCGTTTTATAGCTTTTAATCGGTCGCGAGTAAAATGTCTCGAGATTTATGGAAGAGAAAAGAGTAGAATTACGGTTACAGCTAACACGTTAGTATTACATAAAGAGATACTCATAAATTAAAGAGATACTCATTTAGTAACATTTTCTAAATAAGTATCTCTTTAATTTATACTTAAACATTTATTAAGTATAAATTAAAGCGATACTCATTTAGTAAATATTAAATGCACGTGCCCCTGTATTCTTACTTTTTCGGCATAGCTCACTCTTAAAATTTGTCTCGCGCTGCATTGCACGGAGAAATACAACAATTTTATTTATAATTCTACTGAAAATTAGCTATTTAATTGCAAAATCCGTAACAATATATTTACTGGTTATAAGAAGATTTCCAATAACTGGTAGAAAGCCAACAAGGAAGATATTATTTTACGACGACAACTCAAAGTAGAGAAAGATGGAGATTGAAATGACAATGCAATAATCATATTACAATACAAAGAGGAGAAACGAATGTAGCAGGAAAGCAACTTCCTCGATTCGAAATATTAAAAAACAAAGCTCGTAGCATTATTGATTGGCTGGATAATGTTCTTGAATAAGTTTCATATATTTAATGAGTCCAGTTTATATCTTCAGTAGTGGTAAGGTTATCAATTTTTATTTAATTGGTACATGTTAGTGAAAAGGTTGAGAACCGCTGGTTGAGACAAAGTTAGTTATAGGTAATATTTTAGTAATTCTAGATGTCTCTTACTTGCAAAAGTTTCTTTTTCTTTTAAAAATTAAGACAGCAATGAGTAAACAGAAATACTATTAAATAAACATAATAATATAATATAGCAAGATATAACATAGACCTATAAATAAAATATCTCTTAAATATACAATAGGTAAATAAAATTATTAAACTTAAGTCAACTTAATATAATACGGAGAGATATAATACAGTCATGAATAAATAATACCCCCCCCGCCCCCCCCCCCCCCCCCCACCCCCCCCCCCCCCCCCCCCCCCCCCCCCCCCCCCCCCCCCCCCGAAACCCCCCCCCCCCCCCCCCCCCTCCCCCCCCCCCCCCCCACTACGTCCCGAAGGCGAAACGGCCACGTCAAATAATCCCATTACCTCCCTGACGTATGAATAGTTTGTATGCATTCACAATTGTTTCATTTAGCTGTAATCTTTATGTAACTTTCATGATTTGTAATTAATGAAATGAGCGGGTTTCATCGTTCTAAGAAAAACAATAAAGATGATTCACATTTTTATGCCTCTATTTATTAAGGTTATCAGTTTCTCTTGCAATGAACTTGCTTGATAAAAGGTAAAGCACGTTTCCTTACCTCTCAGTATGTGCTTAGTCACGTTACCAAGACTTTTAAGAGCCTGTTGGCCATCATGGTCCTGTCTCTTTATCCAACTACCGCAGGAGAATTTATAGAAATCATCACAAGGATCCACAGTCTCATCTGTAAATGATAGGATGTCGGCAGCTGTATAGGAAAAGAAAATTCATTAATTACATAAGGATAATTTCAGTCCTTGTTTATTAACTGCTATTTCAAATTCTGAAATTAGGGTGAATTTCATTTTAAGGACAGAGAAACGGGAATATTTTCAACAAGTACAATGCCTAGATGAAAAACTTACCTATTACAGGAATTTTGCCAATGAAATTACACCACCATTTAACATATATATTTAAAATTAGCGGAAGTACCCGATGCCAGTTACGTTAGATTGAGAGTCATGTATCTAATACAGAGAGAACGATATCACTGTAATACTTCTCTAATAACAAAGCAAAAAATACGATTCATAGTTTACATTTTTCATTCTGATGCGATATGGAACCTCAATAAAAAATTTCGATACGAAAATAAAATAAATATTTCTCATTATACATCAACAATGGCACGCAGATTTTAATGATTTTGGTCTTTCTAATCAAAAGGCATAAAAGCTCAGGTTACATCCAATATTTCACCTATATTCAAATTCCAAAGAAATCAGAGAAGGAATCCGTGCAAAAGGTGGTCCAATAAAATTGATCTTGTGTTTCTAATTCATTGGCCATTGTTTGTGGGTGTATACATATATATATATTTCACAATTACGCGATAAAATGTCGTTCGAATCTTCAGTTACTTAGCAGATATACTTGCCATTTTAAATCAACTTAATCTAGCAATACCTGCAAGTTAAAAAGTTTGCCCCGCACGTTCACACGTTTGGCGAGGATGGATTCTCTGACTGAAACTGTGTAATGGTGCAAAATATTTTTTGCGCCTTCAAATTTAAAACGAAATCGTACAAATATGAATATATAGTCTTATTCCTCCCAGTTTCTACTTCGTTTACGTTTTACAAATACATTTATTACTCTACCAGTTCCGCAGAAATTGCTCTTACTAAATGCATAGTTATTTCACCTTTATTCACCATAAGACGTCCAATGTCACGGCCTCAAATTCTGTGCCAGAGGCCAAGCGACTTCTCGAATCGCACTTTTGAATTGGACCTATAGATGTTGCCACGAGCAAAGCCTCTGTTACAACGCGCGAAAACACAGCTACGAGCCGTAAATCGAAGCAGCTCTACAGCCGTCACAACAATATCGTCACTTATTTCTTCTACAATTAATACACCTTATCCTACATTTAATCATTTGGCTTAAATACATTTAAAAAAAAAAATTTAACCCAAAAGAGCTATTAATCTTGTTTTGGCATTTTGCGGCGTTTCACTATAAACATAATTTCACCATTCAAATTGTTGCCACCAAATATTATCGCCCTGTATTATATTTAAAAAGATTAAATAATGAGGAACCTGCAAAAATATATGTATGCTTCTCGCATTGTGATAATCAACGAACAAGTCATGCTGTCCAGCTGTCTGCATTTAGAGACTACAGATGTAGTTTTACGAAATATGAATAGAAAATAAAACAAATTTCAAATTCAAATTAGGGCTTCCACATGTCCATATTCTATAGAAGTTTACATTATTCGAACTTTGTTGGTTCTAGGTACTGCGGTTTTATCACAATGCGAGAAAAATACATACATTCATGGAGATTCTCCATTACTTAATATTTTTTTATATTAAGTAATGGAGTAATATAATATTTTTATTAATATTTTTCTTAATATTTTTCTATATTAAGTAAGGGCGATAATATTTGGTGGCAACAATTTGAAAAGTGATTCGCCGTTTAGTTTTCAACGCAAAATGCCAAAACGAAATTTATAGTCCTTCGAGGCAAATTGCCCCTTTGGACTAAAAATTATAAATTAAAATTATAAAATTAAATTACTATATTAATAAAATAAAATTAAATTACTATATACATAAAATTATATATTTCATAATATAATATAATAATTTTATTTTTGGATATACAAGCGTATTTTAGTATTTTTTTATATACAAGTGTGGCCCATCGGTGGGTTTTGCCGCCCCATGGAACAGACAAGTATGACCCACCGGTAGGTCAGGTCGCCTCACGGGAACATACAAGTATTATATTCCTTTTGTAGTCAAATTAATGACTCAAAGAACGATTGTAAAAGATAAACAATCATTTATTTAGAGATAAATCGTACTCGTTACTTAATAACCTACACGTAACGTATTCGTAAGCGTACATAACATAACAGATGTTCTTACTGCATCGTACCGATATACATTTCAATCGTACATCATTTGAATATATTTTTAAACTGTAAATAGAACGACATCCAGAAATTAGCTGTTGCCATTTTTCAGTAGATATTTTGTCTAATAACAATAAATAATTTACAATCGTGCCTACACAAGTATTACCCACCGGTGGGTCAGGCCGGCGTGAACGTGTTAAATTTTGTCACATGCGGATTTCCAACGAATTCCGCAAGTATTTCTTGCAGATAAGATCTTTGATTGCTTTGTGCGACTGTCTATTGAGCGGTGGTACCGAATTGTCATTTAGTGGCCACCACAAAAGAGGGTATCTGGTTGAGTAACAAAGGAAATATAATTTCTCGGGTGCGGTATGAAGTTTATTCGCGAACTTCCATAACAATGAAATCCTTCGGTGGAACTTAAATGAACAATTTTCTTCACTTGACATCATTCAACTTCTCCACGAGCAGGAAACGTTCGTTTCACTGCATTGATAATTACTGTAGGCCTGAGTGAAGGCATGTAAAGTCGATGCAAAATTTACATCAAAGATTAATGAAGTCAAAGCTCCTATTAATTCTCCTATTGGGTGGATATTCGTTTGTGATTAGTGAACTGCTTCCTAAATTGATATTACTCAGCGAAGTAAGGCTTCTTTTCCTCAGCTCACCAACAAAGAGGGTTTTTTTTTTTTTTTTTTTTTTTTTTTTTGTCCAAGCGAAGTCTTATGAGCGATGCAAAAATAAAGCGTAACTGCGAACATGATTTAAAACGTGGAACTGCAATAAAATCTCTTCTTTTTTCTTCATATTTTTGTTTATTTTGTTAAAAGCGAGCGAAAAATCTACTTTGTGATTTGCAAAATTTTAAAACATTGGGAGTAACACATCACACATCTTAAACACCGTCTAAAAATATTGAAATTACAAAGATAAATAACAGAGGTGTATTTGGTAAAACTGAAAACATTCCGAAAAATCCTTTTAGAGATTTGAAACAAATTTCAATTCGAAGATTGTTTTCCGATCTATTTACTAACATTCTGATATGACTTTTTCTAACATTAGAAACGAATATGTTAAATATGTCGCGAAAATAATTAATAAAATATTACGTAAAAGACAAAATTGAATTTTAAAAAGCTATTTTTATCAGTTTTCTTTATTATTTACATTACAAATAGTAATAGGAAGGGCTATTTAAATTTAATAGTAAGACAAAAAAAAATTATTATGTATTCGAGTTGAAATTTCTTTAAAAGTGTTTATGGGCTTATTTGAAGATTGTCAGTAACGCTGAACTTGTCATTTTTTTTTCTTTCTGCACCTATATCCAGAAAGATAAAATTACATTCAAATAGAATGCAATAACTAACGAACGTTTACACTAACATTGCAGTTAATGGCAAGAGCGCCGCTCAAATCAGTTAGCATATCCTAGCAATGGACAATTTAATGTGGCATTGACAGGTAACAATTGAAATTACATTTTCTTATCGCAATTGCAATAGGAGCTTAGAAATAGATGTTTCTGACCACGATAAAATAAAACAAAATCTTTTATGTATTTTAACAGAATTATAAATATGAAGGAAAAACGTTTCTTACCTGCCTTGACGCATGACGGTGTCTTACAGGTCTCGGATCCGTTGAGCAAAGGCAGTAGAATATCTCTGTTTCTGGCAGATCAACAGGTAGATTTAAATCTGTAAGAGAATAACATTTCACGTTATATATATATTTTATATCTTAATTTAACAATAGCCTCTTAATTCCTCATTTTTAATTTGAGTATTTCCTCTGTGTATTCTAAAAATAGTAATACCTTTTGTGGATTAATTCCAGATCTTTTGTGTGACAGAGATTAATCTAGAAATGTGCATCATTTCTAGATTAATCTCTATCACATGGCTTGCGTAACGCTAATGACGTAGCTAATTCGGAACTTGGAGTCAGAATTTCGATAACTGAAACCTTTCTAACCTAAACCAAAACCCTCTCTTAGCAAATTTATCTTGGTTAATCCTTTTGGTTTCTCCTGGTTAATTTCTCTTGGTTAATTATTTCAAAAGTTAATAGAGTTGCCTGCGTACGGGTTCTTAATAGACTGAATGTGCAAGTCTGATAAAAGTTTAATAAAATTTATTCTTATCGGAAGAAATATAATAAAACGCTGGAATTTTCTTTGAAGATATTCATACAATATCAGACAATATACTCAGTAGCTATACTTTAAGCTACTAAAATCGTTGAAATACAACGCTATGCAAAGAGAAAGCTAATCCGCGAATTCGCAAAAATAAAAACAGTAGTTAGCGAAACAACAACTCGCAATAATTAAGCAGCTGAGCTGAGATGTTCTCTCTCTGACATTTTATATCTTTTCATCTGTCGCGGGAAAGTTATGGTCATTTCTTTGCTTCTCGAGATTTCTGGAAAGCAAAAAGAGAATTACGGTTACAGCTAACACAGTAGTCAATGACATTTATTCAGTTTCACTACAAATAAAAGAGATATTTATTTATCCAATGTTAAATACACGTGTTTTTACTTTTTGGTTTTTACTTCAAATAAGCCCATAAACTAAATACAAAATTTATAACAATACGTAAATCTAAACGTATTTTTAAATATAAACAATTTAAAAATATTAAACACTATTATGAAAACCTTTCAAAATTGTAGTAATACATCAAAAAAAGTTATTTTTTCCTCTGCAACGAATAATTTGAATCATCGCATATATTATCAGAAGATTCTAGATGGTGTTCTGGATTTTGGAATTTGTGATGACGCCATAGGTTCTGAGGAATATGTTAGAGAGATTGAACAGGTAACAGTGTCATTGAATTTCGTCTTCGAAATATAATTTCATTTCATGATTATTATCACAAGTAGCAATTTTAGACAAAAAGCCTTCGCTTGAAAGTCTTCCTCCATTCTGAGCAAATCCCAAATTTTCATTGGTGTTTTTCATCCATTTTTGATATATTAGTAGAAAGACGTTAATTTAAGAAGTTACTATGCTTAAACTACACGTAACAATTTAAGTAAAATCTTAATACGGAATAAAAGTTTAAATGCAAGAATTATTTCAGTTTCTATGAATATCTTACTCAGAAATTACGTAAAACCGCAGTGCTTTACTTCGCTAGAGCACTCTCATTAGAATTGATAGATTTAATCCTTGACTTTGCTATATTTTCACCTTCGGGTGAGCGAAGTTGCGTCCTAATTGACTTAATTACCACGAATGGGCTTAGGGCATAAAATTGAACTAGCTGGTAAAAATTTTATGTAATTGTATGCCAGTATTGAAAGAAGCGATCAATCTGATACGAGATGGCTGCGACTTGTTTTAAAAATGTATCGTGAAAGGTTACCAGCGTGGATATTCCGTCTGGGGTCGGCTGTACCATTTTTGGGGACTTTAACCCCTGCGCCGGCGAAAGGGAAAATTACCGAAAAAGATAATTTTGGCTAGCAAACAGTGCGATGAAGAATGCGCCAAAGAATGGTAGGACATTATAAAAGAAAAAAAAAACTGAGGAACGGAAACGTTAAGAAGAAACTGAAAAACGAAAACGTCAAGAAGACATTGAAGAACGTAGGCGAAAAGAAAAATATGAGGAACGAAAACGAAAGTATGAAATGGAATTTGAACTGCAAAAATTACGTATTGAAGCAGAAATCAAAGAACTGTATTGGTTTCCTGCTATGAAGAGATAAGTTCGTCGACACATATCAAGGTATTTCGAATGACTCATCAACGAAATTGCATATGGAAAAAGCAGGGTCTTTTGTATCCTATTCCCCCAGGCCGCAGACCTATTGCAACAATACACATTGATCATCTTGGACCTTTCATCACAAGTTCTAAAAGAAACAAGGAATTGTTAGTCGTCAATGATAATATGACCTGACTCGTCCAATTATATGCTGCGGAAAACACATCTTCGAAACACGTACTGAAATCCTTGCTGTGTTTCATAGAAGAATTTGGATACCAAATCGTATAATATCAGATCGAGGTTCTTGTTTTACTTCAAAGTAATTTCAAAACTTTTGCAAGGAAAAGAGAATCCTTCATACATTAAACACAACCTCATATTCACAAGGAAATGGTATGGTCTAGAGATCGAACAGAACAATTTTATCAAAGATAGTAACATCAATGAAAAGTAAAGATCAAAAGGATTGGGACAAAAGAATTAAAGAAGTTGAGAGAAAAGCTTGAATAACACAATCAGTAAAACTATTGGGAAAACACCATTTGAAATACTTCATGGATATATACTACGATTTCAAGACCAAGTTTTTGAGATTACTTGCTGATGGAGAAGCAGAACTTTGAAAGGAACCGGAAAAATTACAAAAAGAAGGTAGAGAAAAGATTGCTGGAGAGCAAGAAAAAATGAAAACTTATTATGACAAGAAGAAATTGGGATCTCTATCATTTGAACAAGGAGAAATGGTCGTAGTTAAAAGGAATTCAAAATCGACAGGAGAATCAACCAAAACTCAACCTAAGTATTATGATCCAATAGTTGTGACAGAAGTACTTCCGGGCGACACTTATAGAATATCACAACTAGAAGAAGCCTGCGATGATCACTTTTATGCATCAACTGCTCCTGTAAATCAACTAAAATCTTGGAAAATGCAGAAGCAAATGATGATGATGACAATGACGACGATGAGGATAATGACGAGGACGATGACGAACTTAAAAGGCTCAAGCGAACAGTGCGTAAATCATTGCGCTATAGAGATTTTCTGTAGGACTTGCAGATTTATTTTTTTTAATTATATTTCATTTTATTTGAGTCAGATGAGGTCAAAGAAGCAGGATTCAATCAGACGAGGTCAGCTTAACGTCGATGATTGCAGTTCGTTGTTTTCCTGCCTTTTCTTTCATGTCTTTTAGCGAGACTCCTGCGTTTCCATTTTACTCATTCTTTTGGAGCTCGGCTCCTACTTCTTGTTCTTTTTTTTTTTTTTTCGCAGGCGTCTGTTCCAGTTTTTTACTGGACTTCATATTATCTTCATTAGGAGTTGCTGGTTTGAAAAACACTCGTTTTTATTGACGCCAGGGACTACTCTTCTGATTGCGCTGATTATCATTCTTGCCCAACCATTATTAGGTTTTTCATTTTCGTTAACATTTTCATGTGCAGGATGATTGGACGTTGTTTCGCTGTTTTGTGTAATGGACTCTGTTTTTATCGCTTTAAGGGGACGGTGGACATCGAAAATTAGTTTTTTTTTAAGTTTTTGTGTTTTCAACAAGAAGTTTACACATATGCATATTGTAACATAAGTTTATAGAATGTATATTCAAAATTTCAATTTATTTTAAATTAAAAATTTTTAAAATAAATAATTAATTTTTAAATTAAAGATTAAAAATGCTCCTTGCGCTCTAATTTTCAATACTTTTTTTACTAATTTTTCCTTTAGTTACAAAGACTTAGCAAAAGTTTTTGTGTATCTGTTATGGAATATGATGGATCAAAAATTTTTAAAAGGATTTTAGTGAACTTAAACCCATTTTTCTGAAAAATGTCATCTTTTCTTAAATATTATCACAAGTTTAAACTTCTTAATACCTCATATCCAAAAATGCATACGCAGTTCTACTGTAACATATCACAAGATAGCTTCTTCAAAATATCATTCATTTTGAACTAAAAATGAGTCGCATGGAGGATTTTCAAGACATACGAACTGCGAAAACATTTGTTTTGTGAAAACCGAATTTAAAGTTTTTCTTCAAACTTACCTTTAATACATGATCATGAGAAACAGCAAATTAACTTTAAATATGAATTTCTAAACACTAGATAACATTTTCGTATCTTTTAACTATTTTTAATCTCATAATATTAAATATGACAAATATAAACACATAGCAAATTGGTATGTGATTCAAAGTTATAGGGAGAAATAATTTATGCATTTCTATCCAAAGAAATTTTCAAAATTCACCCCCACCATATGTTTTACCTTCATTTGTCACATTTACATTATCTTTTAATGTTTTACAATATTTTTTAATATTTCTGGTTTTTTTTCCAAGCAGGTAAATATGCTGTTTGGAAAATATTCCAAGCAGGTAAATTTCCATATTTCCACGCAGGTAAATATGCTGTTTCTCTGTTTGCTTTGGTTCAAGCGACGTTGATCCCTCTTTTTTTTTTTTTTTTTTTTTTTTTTTTTTTTTTAAATGAAGAGGGAAAACGAGTTTGTTTCCCCCTGCTCTATGCGTATAGCATTCACATGACCAAAGTTAAATTCATTAATAGTTGTCAATACAGACATTTCTAGTCTTTTTTTTTTTTAGAAATAAACACTTCTTCTTTCTAATTTGGTTTTTTGCATACGATGTAGTAACGTATATGGAATATTACGAGAGTAAAAAATAAAATTCAATATTTTGGTTCATTTTTAGCTATTTTAAAGTCCACCGTCCCCTTAAACTCAATGATTTAATTGAAATAAAGAAATTTATAAAGGTTGCCCTCAGTGTTCTATTAGTGCTACTCTGTTCTGGGGCCTCATTATCGATAAATTTTAAAAATCTGATTATAAGTCTGGGCTCGACGTGGTGCCCTATGCTGACGACTTAGTTTTTCTTATTTCTGCGCAGTTCTTCAGAAAGGTATAAAAATTAAGTTCTACTTTGGCATACGGCTGTACGGATTTTGGCGATTTTGTTTTGGCGAGCGATACGACTTATGGTAAACTCATTGCTAGACTAGTTTATGGCTTCTAAATATTAAAAATCAATTTAATTTTGAATTTTTATTTGAAATAAAAATTTTATTCTTTATGATATTTTATGTAATTTTGTGGATGATGCAATGAATGACGTCACATTATTTTAAAAGTAATTGGTTTTAATATCTATAAATTTAACATAACATAACATTAGTGGCTCTTCCTTCTTATGAAAAGAAGGTAAAGAGCTTAGGCAATATTGCCCATTGCTCTTTCCGCCATTTGATCATTTAAATCAAAGGTTTTAAATGGTAACTCCCGTGAAAGGTAAATAATAAATAAATAGATAAGGTTTCAAACTGACACCAAATATATAGTATCAGCAAAAGATCCCATCTCTAAATTCAGGGTGTCTGTTAAATCGTGCAAACTTCCCAATTGGATGAAGAGCCGATTTAATCACTCCCAAACCACCAAACGCAAACTCTTGACCAAACAAGGGTTCGATGGTGAGTCTAAAATAAAATTAAAAAAATAAGTAAAAATAAATTAATTAATTAGTTAAATAAGGATGGCAGAGGTGCTTTCTCAAGCCAAATGGCCAGGTGGTGTATAAAGATTTGATATCTATTTCCAAATTATATTCCAAAACACAGCTATGAGAGAGAAATCCCTGCATAGTTTCCTTTACACACACACACACCATAAAAAAAAAAAAAAAAAAAAAAAAAAAAAAAAAAAACCTCACAGGGCGTCTCAATGCTTGTTTCTGATGGTTTCAAATTCATCTTACCTGTAGGTGTTTAGTATACATCAGAAACCCTATTATGCCAGAGAGCCCTTTGTATAGAAGGGCTTGTTCAAAGCTAATACAGAGAAACCCAAGGAATTTGTTTCTACGGACAGAAAACACCGGACATCGTCCCTGGAAGTGAAAAGGTGTTTCCTTCTCCACAAACTTGGCAGAGAGGAGATTCGATAAGACCACATTTGTGGAGATGCTTGGCCAGATAAGCATGTCCGATAACAATTTGAATTACCTGGCGTAAGTTAGTTCTACTGAGGTGTATGAGTTTACCTGATAAGTTAAGTGTACTGAGCACCAATTTAAAATGAGCACAGTCTGATAGCTTAGACCATATATCATCATGTTTGTTCTTTATCCAGCTTCTTACTTCTTTTTTAACAGTTTGATATGAAACTGGGTAAAATGGTTCTGGGCCAGACATGGGTAGTTGCGAAGCATCTTTAGCTACTTTCTCAGCTAGTTCATTTCCAGCAAAATCAGAATGACCTGGAACCCAGACTAAACTAATGGTGTTATGGGCCTGAGAAAGAGAATTGAGATCTTGAGTACAGTTCAAAACACAATTTTGTAATTTGACACGATTAGCCAGGCCAAGGATGGCTGATTGGCTATCAGAGAGAATATATATGTTCTTATCAACTGTATTTTTAGCTAAGAGCTTCCTGGCGACCATATTGAGCGCCAGAACCTCGACTTGGAAAACAGTTGTTAGTTTACCAAGGTATAGGTGAAATCTAATGAAATCTTTTCCAGATCCCTTGGTTCTTATAATAGCTCCGGTGAAGTTGGAGTTTGATCCATCTGTGTAACATTCAATTTATCCTGTTGAAATTAGGCCAATTAGAGATTCTATCTCATTCCTTTTTGGTATATAATTTGAGAATAGTTCATCTGGAACTATTGTTTTAGTAATTGCCTCTTTGGGTATATAGATTATAGGGATCTCATTGCCCAAGTCCAGGCATATGTCAATGTGGCTTTTCAGGTGGCTTTTATGACCGAAACCTGTCCTTTGGCACCATGTGCCATTTTTATTCAACCTATACATGGCTTTAATTGCTTTTCCGCTCAAAAATAATTTCAAGGGTGGAATTTGCAATAAAAATTCTAATGCATCAGTAGGGGTACTATTTAAAGCCCCACTAATGCATAGGCAAGCAAGTCTTTGAACCTTTTGTAAAATGTTTAAATATGTTCTTTTGTTAATAACATTGATCCAGACCACGCATCCGTAAGAAAGCATTGGCCGGACTATGGCAGTATAAATCCATAGAGTAGATTTTGGGTTAAGGCCCCATTGTTTACCAATGATTCGCCTGCAAAGTACTAGTACAATCTATAAATTTAATCTAATGTTTTAAACATTATTTAAGACTGTTAAATATTAAAATACAATTTAATTTTGAATTTTTAAATGATTTTATAATGAATGATTATTTAAATAACTTTAATTCTTTTCGTGATGTAATCAGTTCCCAGATTGGTTACAGAATATTTGTTATAGAGGTGTATTTATTCATAGCGGTGTTTTTGTTCTATTTCTTTTATGTATGAATGTAATAATAACCTTACTTTAGTATT